TTGCACATGTTATATAGTGTGCCTTTCATAATTCTCATAAAAATATAAAACTTATCCATGGTGACTTAGTTCAGATGAACACTGCATTCACGTGATTGTCTCATATAATGGGGGGAAATATTATTATGACACTTGGAAAAAAGTGAAAATTTTAAAACTTTTAGGGCCGGAGACATAGTACAGTAGGTAGGGTGCTAGCTTTGCATGTGGCCTGCCCAGGTTCCATCCCAGGACCATATGTGGTTCCCAGAGTCCATCAGGAGTTAACCCCAAGTGCAGAGTCAGGAGTAAGCCCTGGGCACTGCTGGGTGTGGCCCAAAAATAAACACAAAAACTTTCCTCATATGAGAATTTCTCACCTCATTTAGTAGAACGTTACCAGTTAAGACAAATGATTTGTCCACTTCTATTTCCTGGACCTGGGAGGCTTAATCAGGCTTATTTCCAGGAAGGGTAGAGGTGGGGTTGAAAATGCAGTAAAATTGGAAGAAAAAAATTATAAAGTAGCCTGAATAATCCATACAGGCCAGTTGTTTCTGAATAAAGCAAGAGGTGGTTTTGCATTAAGGAATTAAAAGTGTCATTTCCAACTTATGATTTCTGCAAATACTGGATTGTTCCCAATCTGGCCTTATAAGCAGATAAAGAAAGCCAGAATTAAATGAAGGCTCAGAGGAACGTCACCTAGTCTGAATCATTTCCAAATCTCAGTAGCATAATAAGTTGTTGATTGTAGCATGGCGACTTTCTAACCTCTCTACACAGGGAAGATGCTGGCTAGGAAAACTCAATTATGCTAAAAGGAAAAGCGGCCAACTGACAAAAGAGAGAACACAAGAAAAGAAGGAATATGTTTATGCTGCAAAATTAAACACTGCATAAGCTTTTCTGAAATTCTTTGCAACTTAAAAAAAAAGGAGGCATACAAAATGTAATTTTAAGTTTTTTTCATGTACATGTAGGTTAATACGTTCCATGTGCTGTTTTGTATTTTAAAAGAATACTCTGAAAAACCAAATAGCTCCAAATCCCTTCATTCATTGTTTTAAGATATAAACATAAGTGAACTGTGCCTTATAAGGCTTAAGAGAAAATGTTTAATTTTACCAGCCTCAGTTACCAGAAACACTATTTTTGATAAACAGAAGACAAATCTAATCTTAGAAAAATGTAACCTTATGAAGGAGAAGCCAAGGCTTCGTATGGGGGAAAAGTTACAGTTGGAAACAATGGTCATAGCACGCCCCCTACCATCGGACCTTCAGAAACACCTATTCCATAGTAAAAAAAAATATTAAGGCATTTTCATAAATCCCTGGTCAAAAAGTCACTAGGCATATAAACAAAAGAAGATATAAAGAGAAATATCTAAGGGCCAAGTTCATAAAATCCCAGGAGGCTGCATAAAGTTATGATTTGTCTACCCATTTTTACATAATCAAGCCTGCAATATGGCTTACAATCATTCCTTAAAGGAAAATAAATAACCCTGGGACCATATAAGTCAATCATAAAAGATCCGAAAGCAGATGGAGGCAATAGGAGTTTACAGTAGCCAATAATGATTAAACTTTACAGGGAGCCTCACGAGAACGGATGAGTTCTGATTGTTAACATGAGTTGTCAATCAACTCTTCAAAGTGTCACATGTGTCTTTTCTTTATCAGATAGGCATTCTCGGTGTGTGCCTAATTAATATTTTAGAAATATTGCTGCCAGGCCTGACCTGTAATGGCCAAATACGTTCTAATTTTAGGATTTTTTAGTCAAATACATTTTTATTTTAGGATCCTTTGATACATGTTGCTTATAATCATCTCCTACTCAGTTTGATCAATGGTAGTGAAGGTCAACATTCTACTCTCACAATCTTCTGCCTATATTTTAAAATAAAACAGAGTTAAATGATATATATATGCCATTTCAGACTAGATGCGATTGATTTTAACTGACTAAATTATCTGATCTCTGCCAAGAATTTTATTTCATTAAGAAAATGATATTATAGCGCATCTGAGATCATAGAGCAGACTAAACATAATGCCAAAGGAGTTCTGAGAATGCTCCACGGTGAAGGTTTGATTATTTGCAGATGGAATATGGAAAGAAAAAAATCAGATCCTAGGCATTAGTCTAACCGGTCCTGGTACCGCTGCTGCCTGCCTGTGTTATAATAGAAAGGCAAGAAAATAACTGATCTAAGCCACAACACCTTCTTTCTTTAAGGTCCTAATCACTTTTCTTCCTGGAAAGTAGTATTTAACTGCCACTATCCAAAACAAAGGAAAGGGGGAAATGTTGGTACCACAATAAGCTCTAGCATGTCACTGTTGACATGATTTGGCTAGTAGTCAAGCATTCACCAAGAAACTAATTTAAATCAATCTCCTTGGGGAAAGCCAATTGTTTGGAATCACAACAATTGGTATAGGATCAATCAGTGGACATGAGATCAATTAAAACCAGCTTAAGTTTGTGAAGAGGGACAATTCACACAACCTGAGTTAGATCTCTATTCATTTCAATGCTCTCACAATGCAACCCTTAAGCTTCCTTGCAAAGCAGAAAAGCAACTATCACTCTACACTGTCTAGCCTGCCCTTTAAGCAGTTCCACTTTTAATTAAAAGCACAGTCTACCCTTTGTTGGCATGGATAGTGTGGTCACTCTTAAGGACCACAGTTATGTTACCCAGAAACTGGGATTGCGGAAGAGACATCTGTTAGCACACACACACACTTAGGGAATTTTCTTTAAGAAAAAATTAAAACTACCTTACTAAGTCACATATGCCTGAAAGCATTTCAGTTCTATTTAAGCAAGGAGCTGGACTGGCGAAAGTAACTACTGCCCAATGTCAAATTGAGTTGCTAAATGTCAGCACTTGTGGGATTGTGGAGGATAATGAGTCTACGAGTTTGCTAAAGTGAAATCAGGAGGTTTGCAGCCTATGTATGGAGACAGGCCCTTCAGAGGTGGCACTGGAGAGAAGCATGCAGTATCACTTTTGGCCGCAGGGGTGCTGTCATGTCATTCTCCACCAAACACCTCTGGGCATTAGCTTCACTAAAACTGTTAGATCCTTCTCTAAGGTACCCCAATGGGACAGGCAGTGTGGCTTAGAGTGACATCACTAAATCAGTCAAGTCATCTACTAGACAAGAACTTGGCAAATGGGGTTTTGATAGGTTCATGCATTTTTCACATGTTTTTCAGGAAAGGTCTATGCTTCACACATTTTTCAGGAATTCTTTTTTTTAACCAAAGGAACAACTTCTGTTCACAGGATAGGGGAGGAATGAGCCTCTCCAAACACTTCTCAGCACCACCACATAATCAGAGAGTGCCGGTTCTCCTGGAATACCTGGGAAGAAAAAATGGGGTGGATAAAGGAGCCAGTGGGGAGAGAGGAAAGGGAGTTTTCCAAGACTGATGATACCCAATCAAATGTTCGTAGCCTCTGCTCATTCTCCTCGTATTTACATGCAGAATAACTTCTGAAAATAAGCATTTTGCGATTGTCAGAAATGAGCCTGGGAGAAGGAGGGGCCTCCTTCTTATAAACCATAGTTCCATGGCGGGGTTTGGACAGCAGAAGGCTACCAAAGTCGCACACTGCCAGTCTCTCCCCCTCCCCCACACCAGCGTTACGCGAGCTCCCAGCCAACTTTGGCCCTGGAATAGAGGAGGACTGCTTATTAACGCCCTAAAAGCCTACCCAAAAGAAGACAACACACACACACACACACACACACACACACACACACACTACCTCACTCCAAAATCTAGATGCAAAATTGAGTTATAACCCTTACCGCAGTTAGTGTGAAACCTCTACATACCAGAAGAAAGAGAAATATCAAGAGCTGTTCAGCTCAAGACAAATTCTACCTGCAACAAACTCCACATTTGCTAAATAGAGTCAGTTTTCATGGGTGAAGTGTACCTTTTACGTGCATAACACAAGGTAGGGTGGTGGTGGTGGTGGTGGGGTGTGTGTGTGTGTGTGAGAGAGAGAGAGAGAGAGAGAGAGAGAGAGAGAGAGAGAGAGAGAGAGAGAGAGAGAGAGAGAGAGAGAGAGAGAGAGAGAAGGAACCCAACACTTCGTTTAACAGCCCTTTAAATAAAATACATTTGGGATAGTTGCATTCACAGCAGGACTCAAACAAGCCGGCACGCACTAAGACTGGAGGAAAGCCAGCGCTTGCAAGAAAGCTTTCTGGAGCCTTCTACTCGCCTGCCCCATAGCGCATACAAGTGATGGAGAGAGAGAGGGGGAGGGGTTAAAAAGCCACAAGTGAATTTTATCAAGATTGTTTGGGAGGGAGGGAAACGCAGCGGGCAGAGCCGTCCCGTCCCCAATCACGCCATCCTCCCCCAAAGCACTCTGCGCGGGGAGCGCTACCCAGAAAACCTGCACACGCACGGACGCTCATTGAGAAATCTCGGTAAATCAGCCCACCTGGCCTTGGCTTTTAGGAAGACGCTAACGTTTCCCTTTAGTTGGTCGGGAAGGTCCTGCACCCCGACTTGATCTACCACCACTCACTACCCCTCAGGGCGCTCCTTAGCCACATGCACACAAATTTGGGGTACACGTGGACGAAGCACGTAGAGATGAGTTGCAAGGGAGGAGGTTAAGAGAACTTTTCAAGGAGAGAAAGGAAGAGCCAGGAGAAGAAAGGAAACGCCGAGAGGCAGAGAGGCGTGCGGAAGGGAAAAGTTCAGTAGCTGAAACCCCGCCGCGAACCGGGGTCCGAGCGCGCCTCGGCCCCGAGCGCCCGCGCGCCACCGGCTCTCCGCACCGACTCCGGTTCCTTCTCGCTCAGGTCGCCGCGCGTCCGTGGACAGAGAGGGGAGTCCCGGCGAGTGGAAAAAGAGGGGTACGCCCGGGGTGGGTGGCACATCTCAGCCCAAGGGAACCCCGAGAGCCGGGGCTTTGCGTGTCGCGACCCGCCCTCCTCTCCCCCACCCCCCGCCCCAGCAGAGCGGGGACCCACCTCGCTTACTGCGTTTCCATCGGTTGCCTTGGCAGTGACTGTAATCCATACAGTTCAGGATGATGAGCGCAAAGGAGAAGAGACGAAACTGCATCTGGGCGGTGGGGCTGGCGAGAGGCGCCTCTCGAAGTCGGGGAACAGTCGGGCTTCTCCGAGGGGGGCCGCCGCGCGGAGGACGCAGCCGGGGAAGACGCCTCGCGCCAGTCGCCGGGAGCCTGGGGGAGCCGGGGTGCGGGTGCCCTGTCGGCTGGCTCAGTGGGGCATCTTCAGCATCTCCGCGCCTCGGATCTGAGAGACCGGGACGAGAAACAGGGTGGGTGGAGGTGGAGAGAGCCGCGGGGGGTGGAAGGCGGCTGCCTCTTCGCGCGTCCCAATTTAAGAGGGGCAGGGCGGGAGGAGGGGGGGAGTGAACCCTCAGCCTGGCGCGAGCCGCCGAGCGCTTAACCCTGAGCGCAGCGCGCAGAAGGTGATGGCAATCAGTGAATTAGCGATCTTTGCAGGGCTGCAGACGCCCGGCTGGGCACTGGGCGCTGCGCGGACCGACGCGCCCGGGGAAAGGCCAGCGCGAGGTTCAGGGGGCCCTGGCGTCGCAGAGTGGGGTCCCTAAGCGTCGTGGGCCGGCCCCAATCGCCTACCGTGCCTAGGCGCGGCACTCCATCCCGGGCCGGGGAAGCCAAGCGCCCGGCTAGCACGTGGGCTGGGCAAAAGTTTGCCGAGACCCGCCCGGAGCGCCTGGCACCTCCGGGATCCCGGTGGCCGCCGTGGGGGTCCAAGTCCTCCGAGGTCCTCGGGGCCGGCGGCGCCCGAGCAGCAGCGCGGCCAAGGCGGGCGCGTCTGCAGCCGCCGCGGGGATGCTGCGTCCCCGCCGGCGAGCGCGATCTCGGGGAGAGGCGCACGGCCGCTCGCTCGGCGGCTCCCTAGCCAATTGTGCGGTTTCCCGGGGTCTCTCCACCGCCACTTCGCAGCTAAGGGCTCGCCCTGTGCCGGCGGGCTAGAGACACGGCGCTGCCGGGAGGTCGGATGGATGTGCGGAGCGCACTTTCCGAAGGAGATGCAGAGGGGTTGGGGCTCGGGATGCTTCTATAAGTAGGTGGTGCTGTGGTCCAAGGCATCCAAATCCAGGGCTGCCTCGGAGTTCCTGGGTCCTAACGCCAGAAACTCGCAGGTTTCCCTGAGGTCCTAGAGAGCGCTGACAAGCTCCAAGCAGCTCAACTCCAGGCCAGTTCCCTCCTGACTTTCCCGGAGCATTGACTAAACTGGGAGAGTGGATGGGAAAAAGGCGGGCGGGGGCCCAATTGCTTTTACCCGCAGAAGCCCACTTGGGAGTTCCGTGTAGGTTTCCACCTCAGCTGGCCTCAGAAGCTTTCTCCTTCCTCCTCCAGCTCTCAGCGCCACCCTGAACTCCTGACTAGGGCTATTTAAACAGGAGCCACACCTCCAAAGAGTATGCCACACCTCTGCAACCTATTAAAAAGAGTTTTAAGTGTGTGTGTGTGTGTGCGTGTGTGTGTTAGTGGTGGTGGGGTCTTTTGTTGTTTGTTTATTTTGGGACCACACCTGGCTGTGCTCAGGACTTCCTTGTGACTGTGCTTAAAGATCACTCCTGGTGGTGCTCAGGGCACCATATGTAGTGCCAAAGATTGAACCTGTTCTTCCATGTACAAAGAAAGACCCTTACCCGCTGTACTATCTCTCCAGCCTACACATATGGATTCTGCTGACAGAGCACTCTCCTCAGTAGAAAGAGTAAAAGGATAGTTCCAACAAATTGGCTTATTCTCAAAAGTGTTCTTTCTTCACTTTGTTTCTCCTGCAGGAAAGCTTATTAAAATTTGTGAGTCCTCGCTTACAGTGCCCAAGAATTTGAGAGCTTGGATTTTTAAAGAACATTTTACTTTTCATTAATGTAGGTCTCTATCATAACCCACTTCCTTGCCCTCTACCCTATTAACTATTGACTTAGTTGCTTTACATTTGGGGAACTATTCTACATAAGAAGTGTTACATTAAATTTAGAATTGATGCCTCTTATTTTGGTTTCTTTCTGGAGAAATCTTACATCTTGCACTCATTACTGTTGAAATGAATGTGCATCCTCCTTAGACAAAAGATAATAAAAACTCTACTAACCAAGGCATAATTGTCTTTGTAGAGATGCCCAGTACCTTACTATTACACATACATTGAAATTTCCTTTTGATTAATTCCATGGAAATCATTAAACTTTCTACTGAAATTTCCTTTTCAACACTTTCTGTTCCAGAATTTGCTTAGAAATTTGGAGACTGGAGACAATTATATAGACAACCAAAAATATTTTTAACTATTAACTATTTTTACTATTAATTATGCCTGTAATTGCTTATTCATAACTTTTTAAGGACATTATTGTTACACAGCAGTATTGTGTGATGAGAATTTCAAGTTATTACATTTACTTTGTGCCTGAGAACTCCCAGGTAAGCCTGGGTGAGGTCATAGGTTCCATTTCCTAGATAAGAAAATTCAGCCCTTGGGATTGGCCCACAGGGCACAACTAGAGTTGACAAAACATTACAGAAACAGTGCATCTGTGTCTCAGGTTTCAGTCTTTGATTTTTATCACAGAATTTGGAAGCAACTGGAAACATTTCAGCTTTGGGAATGGTCCAGAATTTGACATGATGACTTAATAGTCCCACGAATACCCCTCCCTAATCACACATACCTTCCCCCAATATAATTTACATAGGCACAATCAAATTTATTGAATTATAAAGGAGCTAAAACCCAAGGCAGAAGGAAGACTTTAAATAAGTCCCTGCATTCCCATCCAGCTTTAAGACCACTCAAGGTCAGTGGCTATGTGTGTCTTAAATTATTTAAGGGGTGGGGGGGGGAAGCATAAGACCTAGCTTGTAGAGTTAGCTCTATCTAGTCATATGGGATTTGAATGGCTTTGGCAAGTGTGTGAATCTTTTGCATACTACGCCAAAAATCTCTTTCACCTCTATCATATTCTAATTTATCATCAATTTTCCTTTTTTAAGCAAGTTTGCTACAGGGCCTCAGCCTGCGAGGACAAACTCCTTAGTGAAGACATTTTCATGTAGAAAGAAATTACCCTCTGTATCAACATTTTTACTAATGTAGTCCACCTTCTACCTCTGTCTTAAAATATTGATTCCCAACATTTCAATCATTTGGGTTGCACAGTGAACATTTTTGAAACTGGAGATATTTTACAGGTTTGTGAATCTCTAAATACGTTTTAAAGGAATTATAGCAGTGTTGCATCTATGGGAGATGGATTAGTGAGCTTTTGTAGATAAAAGTGGGCTGTGGAAGAAAAAAGTATTTCTAATTCTTTACTTCCTATGCTTGCTCCTGCTCTATCTTTGATTTTTAGAAGACACCAATGAACTTCAAAAATCTGTCACACTTAGTTTTAAGGGTTGCTTTACTTAGAGTTGCACTTAGACTTTTGGGGCTAGTTTCCTGATAATGAAGGGTTTTTTTTTTGCCATTTGTTGAAATTTTTTTATCTGATTTTGAGAACCCAAGAATGTTCTTGCTACTATAAACTACAACCCAAGTGCATCCTAAACTATCATTAACTTTAATCCCATATTTCTGCTTCTTTTCATTTCTAAACTCTGAATGTGTTGTTGTTGAGCCTCGGAGCTCACAGTTTCTCATCTTGGAGATTGAAAAGTCTTTTTCCTTGGAGTTTAAAGAGTGATTTTATTAAACTAGTTTTGTAAATGGATATGTGCCTTATGTCTGTTTACATAGGAATGTAGTGATGAGGTTGACTTCATACAACTCATTGGTGATAGAAAAGGTTAACTGAGGCCAGAGGTTGGTGGTAGTGTTATATACAAGAAGCAATTTCTGTGCTTTACTTTTGACCTATAATTCATTCACATAGCTAAAATTCAATCCTTAAAATGAGGGATACTAGGAGAAGTTTCTCTTCCAGCTGATTCCCTTCCTCAGAGACAAGCAGTCATTTGTTTGTAACCCTCCAGGTTTTGAGGATATTTTCAAAGATTGTGGACTTAGCAAAAAAATGGGTGTCACACACATAGATATTGATATGCATTTTATTTTCCCGTGTCTTTTATGCAACTAGTAGAATATGTATTCACTAATATATACCTCAACTTTTATGCGCTTCAGTCAACAATAGTTAATAAAGAACTTTCCTGTCTTTTTATGCAATCGCATGTTCCATTGTATGAATGCATTCTGCCAGCTCCTCACTGATAAACAAATTGTTTTCATTCTTTCTCTGTTATGTGCAATGCCACAATTAATTTTTTTCAGGACTCATTTTGCCTTTTCATAGTAAATTCCAAAAATTTTTAAGAAGTGGTTCAAATACTTGGATATGCGCGCGTGCGTGCCTGTGTGTGTGTGTGTGTGTGTGTTTATGTTTTCTTATAACCACCATCAGTAGAAGTGCTGTCAGATGACAATGAAAGAAGAGAGCTTTGTCTCACTACACTCTGACCAATGTTAATTTAGTCTTTAATACTCTCGAGGTTAAAAGTGGTATTTCAGTACTGTTTTCATTTGTATTTATCATAAAATGATATACTATTAATATACTCAAATCATTTCCATTTTCTTTTCCATGACATGAAAGCCCTAAGCCCTTTTCCTCAGGGAAGTGGTCTCTTTCCCAATATCATTGTTTCAAAATGCTAATTTATGAAGGTTTATTCATTTCTTAAAATTTCAAATACCATTTGGTCGTTAATAATTTTAACTTTTATGTCTGAGGTGGGTATACTAGAAGAGATTTATTATTTTTAAAAATATTTCCTAAACATCTTCACAGATTCCATTAGTGTTGGTTCTGACTCTCATTCTCATTGACTCACTGATTCGGATTTTTATCTTTCATGTCTCACATATTCATATTCTCTGATTTAAAGTTTCCCACAGTCTTTTTATGCACTGTTGATATTTGTTGACATTGTACTAACTCTTCTAGTCTAGAAATTATTCCTTAATTACTTTGGGACACATAATGGAATTTTTGCCATTGTGCTCATAGGGGTAGTATAATTTTCCTTGTTAAATAGCAGCTAAGTGTCCATTTTGCTAGTGATAGCCTAAGTTCATTTTTTATGTTTCAAATAAAATAATGAATATGAATGATCTTCAAGAAGGTCACTGACCATCTCTTATCCAGGCTAATTTGTTCTTTCTAGAAGCTACAACATATTCACTTATTTAACATCTGAAAAATGTGTAAATATTGGATTCCTCCAGTAGTTAGTGTTCTGCTACTTGCAAACTCTTTTGTAGACTGATGTGATAAGGACTAGTTTTCATTCCGCTCTCAATCCTCATGGAAGAGATCCAGGAAGCAGTTTTGTTGTTGACTTCAAAGGAAGTCCAGCTCAGATGAACTCAAAAGAGAGAATTCAAGATTTCATTTGAAGTTTTGAAATTATTTCTCTCATTTAATCTATGTGTTTTCAAGTCTTCTGAACAAAAAGTTCTATGTGTCATTTCCATTGTGTGTGTGTGTGTGTGTGTGCGTGTGTGCACAAGCACATGTCCTTTAGTTGCTAGAAAGAAGTGTTATGCTTTTGGCTAATAGCAGGAAATACTTTCAGATTCTTGGTTATTTTAAAAATTAGATTTCATATTCGTTAAGTTGAAGAGAAGTTTCTTTTCATTGATTGTAAACCCTTACTTATGTGAATTAAAATCGACAATCAAACAGGTAATTCCTAAAGGTAGGAATTATCCTCCTCAAAAATTTGGTAGTTTTTTAAATTCAGTATCCACAATCAATGTGCCCCTCCTAAATAAACGGTTTGCCAAAATTAATTTCATTTTAAATTAAAGATCAAATTTATGACTGACCCTCAGCCTATATACAAAATTGGCAATTACTTTATAGACTAGACTTATTTCTTGCTCCATTTTATGCTTTTATTCTGACTTCCCTTGGCTCTATTTTCTTCACTTGTTTTTAATGTATTTTACTTTACAGTGTTTTTGATGTCTTTAGAGACCACTTTCACTTTTGAATAAAATAGGAAGTTAAAAATAAGAAATATTACATGCATAA